GCACAGCAGATGGCACGTCATCATCATCGTGAGTGTGGTCGTTCAGTGGTGTGGAGCTGATCTGCACAGTGAGGGAAATGGAGAGCAGCAGGGGAGACGAGAGGTGCAGCAGACACACACAGAGGGCACACCACATGAGGAGAGGGCAGCAGCCAGGCATGCACCGTACGCCGCACACCACGCACGACACACACTCCAATCCACGGCAGCAGGCACACACACGCAGCCCTGCCGCAACACCAACACACAGATGGAGGAGGGAGAAGCAAACAGGAGCGGCACACAAGGCTCCACCGCATATGCATACGACGAGAGCGGTCCGTCGTGTCGGCACCCCTCACGGAGGGTGCGCACACACACACACAAGAAGGTGCAGCGCACACAACAACACAAAAGCATAGTAACAATACAAAAGGAGATCCCCGCACACCACGTGGATTGTTGGTCCACGGGAAGTGCAGCCAATATTCACCACAAAAACACTTCAGTTGCCGTAGGCCTTCGTCCACATTCATCGCAGACCACTTCATGGGAAGCGCAGCCACCGCCGCAGCAGCCGCACACGTAAATATAAGCGCAAGGAATGGAATAATGCAAGCAATCATTTATTTGTGTTTCTGTTTGGATGTTGGCAGATGTCTGCATGTGTTTCGTCTGGGTTTTTTTTGTGTGTGTGCAAACCTTCATGCCTGGATCGTGTCTTGGGATTCCTGCAGGGTGCACAATTATTTTGTTTCCCACTTGTGAATGTTTCTTGTGTTGGTGCAGACAACAATTCGGTGTGTGTTGTTCCTGCTTCTCTTTGGTGAAGTGCTGCAGTAGATGTTTGTGTTTCCTTTCGTTGTCGTGGCACCTGATTCCTCACCGTTGATTGCGGTGGAAATGAGAATATGTGAGTGGACTCCCACGCACCAGAACGCACCTTCGCTCCTATTTATTGCTGCATGGAAGGGCATGCGTGTTTGGTGGTGCCTCGGCCATATATTTTGTGGGTGCACATTCCCCTGCAGGCTGAGGGCGGGATGACGCTCCGTCGCGGTGCACTTCCCTCGCATGCCGCCCACCGTGATTCATCATGCATCACCCCCTCACATATTCCGTGGTGCCACACAGCTGATATTATTGCAGCCGCCGTGATTCCGCGTATTCCACGCATTTGATTGTGTCACAATACATCCGCTCGTGGGGCCGCCGCATCCAAACAGCGGTGCCCAACACCGTGAGCGGCAGTCCACATCCTTGCATGTCCCAGCGCAGTGGTGTTTGACTGTCAGCCAGGCGTCAGACAACACGAGAGTCTTGTGCCGGCAGCACAGCACACGGAGCTGCAGTGAATGACTCGGGCGGCGACGCATCTATTCGTCGCAAGGCAGTGAAAAGGAGTCGGGCAAAATAATGCCGGCTGCACTCACGACACCATACCCACAGCCAAAGCATGCGACGTGATGTGTGTTTCACTGGTGCTGTGGAATGCCTGCAGACGACGTCACTAGTGGAGGCGTGCCACCCATGATCAGCGGACAGACAATAATCGGCATGAAAATCCACAAGAGGCAGCAACGACGCCAGAAGCAGGAGCAGCTCTCTCTCTCTCTTTTGCCTCCGAGAAGTAAATATTCCACCAGCCACAGCTCACTGTGCCATCGTGACACTCCATGCACGTCGTGGCTGCGTCAACACATCCTGCTCCCTGCAGCGCCTCAAAGATGCCTCACTCCGTCCACTAAGTGCATCGGTGTGGGCCGTGCCTCGGCTGTTCGTGAGGACCACAACGATGTGAGGGTCACCGAGTCGCAGCATGTTTGTTGTGACGCTGTTGCATGGCACCTGCACACACACACGCAGCGCCTGCATCCCTCCCTGTTGTGTCCGCTCTCTGCCGGAGTGGCCACACACACAGGCAGCAGCAAAATCACTTCACCCTCGACGATCCAAAATCAGCACCGACATCCCTCGCAATGCAAAGATCTCAGTTGCCAGCACGGGCCTCATGCCGCTCCGCCATCGACGCTGAAACACGGCACAGTGCACGCACTTATTCTCCTCGTGCGCAGTCAGCCGTTTGCTTCACACATTCTTCGACGGGCTGACGTCCACAAAAGCACGCCACAAAAGCCACTGTGATCGCACAAGCTCTTGCGATGAGCGTCGGTGCGTGCATGGATCCGCCGCTCACACGTGCTGGCAGGCAGCCTGCAGCCGGTGCCCTCGTGCCAGTCCATCGGCTCCAGCACGGAAAAGAGAAAACGGCCTATTCCTCATGCACTTATTCCCACCGGCAGCACCAACACGCTGTTCGCCAGCCGTCATTCCTCAGCACATCCAGGAATGCCGAAAAGTGACGTGGAACTGTCAGCCAGCAATGCCACAATCCCGCACACATGTCGGCTCCACCAGAGAAGACACACAAATCACAAACAACACCCTCCACATGTTTTCCAAACATCATTCCAACACACCGCGACACGCCAAACAGAAGTATTCGTCACTCCATGCACCTCCCCACACAATCACATAGTCCATGCACCACGCACGGCAGCGGCTCACATGCAGTCAAACAAATGTCCCTCGGATCAGTGGCCTCCACGTGCTGCGGTGGGAAGTAAACAAAAGAGACTGGCGGCCAAACCACAAAAGAGTGCCACGACTGGCCGCAAGTCAACGGAACGCAGCCGCTCAAAAGAATTCAGTCCCAATGCCCTCAGCCTCCCACCTTCCCCACAAAAGCTGCAAAAGATTGAAAACAAACGCACCGTCCAATAAACTCTTTGTGCAAAGCCAAAAGAAGCCGCAGTGCCTCCTGCTGCCCTCACAGTCCGTTGATGACGCCTGGATGCGGATGGTCACCCATCGGTACTTCCAAACGACGCCGCACACCCGCGACGCATCCTGCGCTCTGAGACACGCGGCCCTCACTATCACCAGAGACGCCCACGCACCGTCAGCACGCAACAAATCGTCACGAAACGAAGGATAAGTCAGACTGACAGCAAGACACCCGCCGACAAATCACAGCACAAACATCATCACAAGCAGAACCAAAAGCAATGCAGGCCGCAGAGTAACGTGAATCAAATGACGCATGGCGTATGTAAAAAGAAAAAAAAAACAGTGGCGCTACAAGAATACAAGAGGCTGGCACTCTCTCAACAATAAAGGAACAGTATAATAATACACAAAAGCAAACAATTTAGGCGTCCACCGTCAAAGCAAGCCACAAATCGAAAAAAGGGCAATGGAATGGGTGCACTCAACCACAAAACAAGTAAAACAATAAAACAAAAAGCCGCAGCGTGGGACGACCAGCGCACACACTCTCATTACTCCCGTAAAGCAAAACACACACACAGAGGGAGAGAGAGAGAGGTCGCCCACTCAATGCAATAAAAACAAAACAGAAACAGTTACGGTGCTCCGCCCATGCAGCCAGGCAGGACGGCAGCGGTGCGTGTCGTGCAAAAGAGAGCACCAACGGGCCTGCATGGGTGTGCATGCATATATACAATGGGCACATTATTGTGTGTGCTTCGTGTGGTGAGGTGAGGGCGAGAGTCCATGCAAGGGGACACACACACAGAGAGAGAAGGAAGAGTGTGTGTGCGGGCGGTGCACGGCTCTCCCACACTCACTCTCACGCGGCCACCACCGCAGCAGCAGCACACGCAACAAGAAGAAGCAAAAGAGGGGAGGTGGTGTGGGAGACCGCGGTGCTGCCGTCACTGTCGCCAACCTTTGTCACCGTACCATTTGTTTGAGCGTCGGTGGTTGTCCTTGCTGTTTTTGGTGCTGTCTCACTGAGTGGTGGAACAACGTTGGAGTTGCCAATTTCAAGGCTCTCGTGTTGTTCTTCAGAGCTTTGAGCATCATCCTCATCTGCCTTATTCTGGACATGATCACCGCTGCCACTTTTAGAGGTAGATGAGGTTGTTGTTGTTTCTGCTGGACTGCCGGCTGCTGCATTCTTCGTCGAATCCTTTGTGTCTGTGTCATGACTGTGCTGCCTTTGTGTAGCATCCCCTGGAGGTGGTTCCGGTGCTTCTGAGTCCGTTTTGGATCTTGACGGTGTGTTTTCGTTCTTTGCTTTGGTTACGTTGTGTAAGTTTTCTTGATCTGGTAGTGGGCCTCCTTCACCTGCTGTTGATGATGGTGCAGGTCCACCCGATGGTATCGTTGGTGGCGGTGGTGGAGGTGGTGGTGCCCCCTCATTATTTTGACTCTCGTGTGTCTGGGGTTGTACCTTATTTTTTTCTTTTTCGTCTTTTTTATCCTTTTTCGTTTCTTCCGCCGTTTCTTCTTCCTCATCACTGTCTTCATCTTCAGCTTCCTCTGTGGGAGGGGAAGGTGCAGGTATCACTTTTCCATCAATATCTGGTGATCCAAAATTTAAGTTTTTGGTGCATTGTCCAGCCGTTTCAAGCTCTTTGGCTGCCGGCGGAGGTCCACCACCACTCACAGGAGCTCCTGCCTCCTCTTCACATCTACCAACGACACCGCATCACAGCACGCAGAGGGCACACACCAGCAGCACACGGCCAGTCATCATCGCCATCACTCCTGCCACTTGCGTGTGGCCTTCAGCAAAAGTAACACCACGTCAACAGAGAGGGAAGAGAAAAGATAGACACGGCCGCTACACCACGCACAGCCACGCACAGCAACAAATGGCAGCACACCATGAGACAGATGGAGTCAGTACGATTGCAGAGCTCGCACACCGCACCGCAAACCACAAGTTTAAAAAGCAATAAAAAACAATAAATAAAAAACAGAAATTAAAAAAGAAAACAAACCCAGGGCTCCAGCGCGCATGCTTATGAGTGTGTCCGCGATGCGTTCAACGTGGCGGATGCGGGGCACAACGCGGAGCACACAGCACGGCAGCAGAAGCAAGTGAAGCAAAACACAATCATTATTTCCTCTTATTTAGTACAGTGAACCACAACACACGCGCACAAATCCCCGCGGTTGAGTGCTGGCACGCACAGCCCGCACACACCTCTTCAGCCCACAGCGGTGTACGCCAGCGCGGATGCGGCGAGCACCAGCGGGGCACACACCCACGCAGAGCTGCTGAGGCTGCCGTCGATTTCGCGAAGACGTGACGGTGCGCGGGTGTTCGTCGTAGTTGGAGCCTCTGTAGTCGTAGTACTTGGTGCCTGTGTTGTAGTGGTGGTCGTTGTTGGTGATTTTGTTGTGGTGGTGGTCGAGGTCGTGGTTGGCGCCTTTGTTGTGGTTGTCGTGGTAGTCTCGGCAGGACCTTCTTCACCCTTAGTTCCTTGTTTTGTGGATGTACTCGTGCCACTTTCTGTCCCTGTCGTGTCTTCCGTACTTTCTTCTTGTACCTCATTGTGAGCATCACTTGATTGCTTTTCCTTATCGCTCGAACCACCTCCATTTACTGCAGTATCTGCATGTCCGACACCCGACTCTTCACCTTTCTGACCAGATGTCGGGGTTGATGACGAAATTGTCGCCACCTGTGAAGAAGCGGCAGGCTTATCTGACGCACACACGGACGGGCAGCAGCAGCACAGGGCAAGCACCAACAGGGCGCACAGCAGACGGTACGTCGTCATCATCGTGAGTGTGGTCGTTCAGTGGTGTGGAGCTGATCTGCACAGTGAGGGAAATGGAGAGCAACAGGGGAGACGAGAGGTGCGGCAGACACACACAGAGGGCACACCACATGAGGAGAGGGCAGCAGCCAGGCATGCACCGTACGCCGCACACCACGCACGACACACACTCCAATCCACGGCAGCAGGCACACACACACACACAGCCCTGCCGCAACACCAACACACAGATGGAAGAGGGAGAGAAGCAAACAGGAGCGGCACACAAGGCTCCACCGCATGTACATGCGGCGAGAGCGGTCCGTCGTGTCTGCACCCCTCACGGAGGGTGCGCACACACACACACAAGAAGGTGCAGCGTACACAACAACACAAAAGCATAGTAACAATACAAAAGGAGATCCCCGCACACCACGCGGATTGTTGGTCCACGGGAAGTGCAGCCAATATTCACCACAAAAACATTTCGGCTGCCGTAGGCCTTCGTCCACATTCATCGCACACCACTTCATGCAGGCCCGGCCACCACCGCAGCAGCCGCACTCAAAAATATAAGCGCAAGGGATGGAATAATGCAAGCATTCATTTATTTGTGTTTCTGTTTGCATGTTGGCGGATGTCTGCATGCTTTTTTTCATTTTTGCAGAGAGCAAACCTCCATGCCTGGATCGTGTGTTTCAAGAATTTCCGCAGGGTGCACAATTATTTGTTTTTTTTCCTCTTGTGCATTTTTTTCTTGTGTTGGTGCAGCCAATAATTCAATTTGTGTTGTTCCTGCTTTTCGCCGGTAAAGTGCTGCAATAGATGTTTGTGTTTCCCTTCGTTGCTGTGGCACCTGACTCCTCACCGTTTATTGCGGTGGAGATGAAAATATGTGAGTGGACTCCCACACACCAGAACGCACCTTCGCTCCTATTTATTGCTGCACAGAAGGGCATGTGTGTTTGGTGGTGCCTCGTCCATATATTTTGTGGGCGTACATTCCCCTGCAGGCTGAGGGCGGGATGACGCTCCGTCGCGGTGCACTTCCCTCGCATGCCGCCCACCGTGATTCATCATGCACCACCCCCTCACACATTCCGTGGTGCCACACCGCTGATATTATTGCAGCCGCTGTGACTCCGCGTATTTCACGCATTTGATTTTGCCACAATACATCCGCTCGTGTGGCCGCCGCATCCAAACAGCGGTGCCCAACACCGTGAGCGGCAGTCCACATCCTTGCATGTCCCAACGCAGTGGTGTTTGACTGTCAGCCAGGCGCCAGACAACAGGAGAGTATTGTGCTGGCAGCACAGCACACGGAGCTGCAGTGAATGACTCGGGCGGCGACGCATCCATTTGTCGCAAGGCAGTGAAAAGGAGTCAGTCAAAATAATGCCGGCTGCACTCACGACACCATATCCACAGCCAAAGCATGCGACGTGATGTGTGTTTCACTGGTGCTGTGGAATGCCTGCAGACGACGTCAATAGTGGAGGCATGCCGCCCATGATCAGCGGACAGACAATAATCGGCATGGGAGGCCACAAAAGGCAGCAACGACGCCAGCAGCAGGAGCAGCTCTCTCTCTCTCTCTGTTGCATCCGAGAAGTAAATATTCCACCAGCCACAGCTGACTGTGCCATCGTGACACTCCATGCACGTCGTGGCTGCGTCAACACATCCTGTTCCCTGCAGCGCCTCAAAAGATGCCTCACTCCGGCCACTAAGTGCATCGATGCGGGCCGTGGCTCGGCTGCTCGTGAGGACCACAACGATGTGAGGGTCACCGAGTCGCAGCATGTTTGTTGTGACGTTGTTGCATGGCACCCGCACACACACACGCAGCGCCTGCATCCCTCCCTGTTGTGTCCGCCCTCCGCCGGAGTGGCCACACACACGGGCAGCAGCAAAATCACTTCACCCTCGACGATCCAAAATCAACACCGACATCCCTCGCGACGCAAACATCTCAGTTGCCAGCACGGGCTTCATGCCGCTCTGCCATCGACGCCGAAACACGGCACAGTGCACGCAATTATTTTCCTCGTGTGCAGTCAGCCGTTTGCTTCACACATTCTTCGACGGAATGACGTCCACAAAAGCACGCCACAAAAGCCACTGTGATCGCACAAGCTCTTGCGATGAGCGTCGGTGCGTGCATGGATCCGCCGCTCACACGTGCTGGCAGGCAGCCTGCAGCCGGTGCCCTCGTGCCAGTTCATCGGCTCCAGCACGGAAAGAGAAAGTGGCCCATTCCCGATGCACTTATTCCCACCAGCAGCACCAACACGCTGGTCGCCAGCCGTCATTCCTCAGCACATCCAGGAATGCTGAAAAGTGACGTGGAACTGTCAGCCAGCAGTGCCACAATCCCGCACACATGTCGGCTCCACCAGAGAAGACACACAAATCACAACACCCCTCACATGTCATCCGAACATCATTCCAACACACCGCGACACGCCAAACAGAAGCATTCGTCACTCCATGCACCTCCCCACACAATCACATAGTCCATGCACCACGCACGGCAGCAGCTTACACGCGGTCAAACAAATGTCCCTCGGATCAGTGGCCTCCACCTGCTGCGGTGGGAAGTAAAAAAGAGACGAGCCGCCAAACCCCAAAAGAGTGCCACGACTGGCCGCAACTCAACGGAACGCAGCCACTCAAATGAATTCAGTCCTGATGCCCTCAGCCTCCCACCTTCCCCACAAAAGCTGCAAAGATTGAAAACAAACGCACCGTCCAATAAACTCTTTGTGCAAAGCCAAAAGAAGCCGCAGTGCCTCCTGCTGCCCTCACAGTCCGTTGATGACGCCTGGATGCGGATGGTCACCCATCGGTACTTCCAAACGACGCCGCACACCCGCGACGCATCCTGCGCTCTGAGACATGCGGCCCCCACTATCACCAGAGACGCCCACGCACCGTCAGTACGCAACAAATCGTCAAGAAACGAAGGATAAGTCAGACTGGCAGCAAGACACCCGCCGACAAATCACAGCACAAACATCATCACAAGCAGAACCAAAAGCAATGCAGGCCGCAGAATAACGTGAATCAAATGACGCATGGCGTATGTAAAAAAAAAAACTCAGTGGCGCTACAAGAATACAAGAGGCTGACACTCTCTCAACAATAAAGGAACAGTATAATAATACACAAAAAGCAAACAATTTAGGCGTCCACCGTCAAAGCAAGCCACCGATCCGAAAAAAGAGCTATGGAATGGGTGCACTCAACCACACCACACGTGAAACAATAAAACAAAAAGCCGAAGCGTGGGACGACCAGCGCACACACTCTCATTACTCCCGTAAAGCAAAACACACACACAGAGGGAGAGAGAGAGAGGTCGCCCACTCAATGCAATAAAAACAAAACAGAAACAGTTACGGTGCTCCGCCCATGCAGCCAGGCAGGACGGCAGCGGTGCGTGTCGTGCAAAAGAGAGCACCAACGGGCCTGCATGGGTGTGCATGCATATATACAATGGGCACATTATTGTGTGTGCTTCGTGTGGTGAGGTGAGGGCGAGAGTCCATGCAGGGGACACACACACAGAGAGAGAAGGAAGAGTGTGTGTGCGGGCGGTGCATGGCTCTCTCACACTCACTCTCACGCGGCCACCACCGCAGCAGCCGCACACGCAACAAAAAGAAGCAAAAGAGGGGATGTGGTGTGGGAGACCGCGGTGCTGCTGTCACTGTCAGCTGTGATCTCTGTATTGCTCGTTTTATTGGTGGCGTTTTCTGGTACTGCTGTGTATCTCTCGTCATTATCTGCCTGAGTGTCCCTGTTTCCTGAAGCGGTTTCAAATTCCACAGTCTTATCCTTGTGTGCCACGTCATCATTGACGTCGTCGTTATTAGACTGTTCAAGGTCACTCGCATCACCAGAGGCTTGGGTGCTTCTTGTGCCAGCGGTAGGCCTTTCAGCAGTAGAAGCTGCAGGGCTGCTGTCGCTGTCGTCATCATTCGTCGTGGCAATTATACCAGCGTTGGGTATTTCTTCTGCTTGCAATTCACTGGTGCTGGCTGGCGGAGCAGCGGGGCCAGTATCTCCCGCGGAATCATGTTGTGTCACTGAGGCGGCAGGAGGTTGAGGATTGTTAACACCACCCTTCTCCACCGTGCTTCCGGCAATACCGCTGCCAGATTTGGAGGCGGATAATGGAGTTGTGGCTTCCGGAATTTCTTTGGATGCACTCCGCTGTGTATCCGAGGAAATTGTTTCTCCCTCTTCGTGCTCTGAAGCATCTTTCGTTTGGAGCATCTCCTTTTGTGTGAGTGACTTCCGTCTCGCGGCCTTAAGTCTTCTTCCACTGGAATTGGTGTCCGTTTCTCAGTTAATCCTAAAGGCTTTGATGGCCCCGCTTCTGTGCCTTCTTTTGGTGGTGGTGGTGGTGGTGGTGGTTGATTTCCCCTGCCATTTTCACCTTCTGTTTGGCCGTCTTTTGACACGCCGCCCACAAGCCTTGAATTGGCGTTGAAAAGTCCATGCTCAGCGTGTTTTGGATTTTGACTGCCACCCGCAACAGGCAATGGCAAGTCTGCCAACTCTTGAATTCCAGTTGGATTGGCGGGGTTGACGACTGAAGTCGCCTTGTCTTTTTCGAAATTTGGTTCACTCTTGTCTGCTTTCAAATTATTTTCCCCTCCCGGCACTTTTGCAAATTCTTCCCGTCCTCCTGCTGGATTCTTCTTTTCTGCTTGCAACGTGTGGCCTGAAAAAGACAATCCCTTCAATTTGTCGTCGTTCTCTTCGCGATGATCCTCATCATTACCAGAACCACCATCAGCAGCAGCGGCCACGGCAGAGTGTTGACGCCTCCGACGACGACGGCCATCCACAACGGCACGCACACCGCCCATCCCTTGACGGAGGCATTCCTCAACGGCGGACGCATTCGCCTCGCCTCCTGTCCTCCTGCCGACCTCCTCCGCGCATCCCTTCCGCAGCTGAGCGCGCCACCGCAAGAGCGAATAACCAACCGCACTGCCATCGGCATCCCC